TGATTGGTCGACAAACTATTCGATACAGTGTCGTCTAGCTCCCAAAGTCCTTATAGCATAGTTATTGGAAAATCGATCGAGCTGTGCGATCAGCTGCCGGAGCGCTAAATGTTTTGTATACAATAAACTCTCCATTTACAAAAAATTCTACGCGATATATTGTGCAATGGGGTCTTTTAAGAAGCAAGGTGTCCCGCTGTCCAAACGAAATTTGAGATACGAATTTTTTGTACGAATTTCTTACGCTTTCGTGTGTCAAATTCGTACGAAATTCTCGTCAATTCGTACTGAATTCGTTGTAATTCGTTGACATTTTGCTGTTAGGACTTGCATCGCAGCCAATTGGCTGTAGGATACTTTAGTCAAGAATTCATGGGCTTCCATGAAGTTTAATTAGTCCTTCGCCTGAGTCCTCTCAACGACAATTTCCTGTTGTTTTTTTAAATTGATGTCTTCTGAGACCTTATTTATGGAACAACACCGTGTGTCTAAATATGCAAGATGCTTGTCTCGACTATGCACATTTACTCGTTTCAAGTGCACACTCGTGTCCCTTATTTTATCAGTGACTCTACTTAACTTTCAACTATACGAAAAGGTCTCTCGTGGATAATAAGGGATTCACAACCTCAAACAGATGCGTATTTCCGCTTGCTTTTTTCGACCTATTGGCCTTCACACCAGTAAACTATTCAGGTCGTTTCAATAAAAAGTACCTTAAAGATGTAATTTTACGATAAGTTTTCATCAGTCCTTCTTTTCTTCTGAGGTATTGCAGTGCCACCATTCGCACGATATGCAATTTTTCCAAAAAGTAACGCATAAACGAATCTTAAATTGTTACAGGTACGTATTAACGGCGAGGCAACGCTGCTACCTGACGAGGAAGCCGTGACGTACTTTAGCTCGCGACCAAAAAGCAGCCAAGTTGCAGCCTTCGTGAGCGACCAGAGTACTCCTGTTCCTTCGGACGCGGTAAGCTTTATACCTTCACATTTTGCTTGATTTCCAAGTCACAATCATATGTACCTAACTATAGTGAACTTGCGATTTTTTGTAAGGTTGCGTTTTACCCTATCGGTTATCGCTTTCTTCCGTACTTCCGTAATTGCAATAACCAGCGTAAGCTTGGGTTACGGTGGTGAGCCAAGTTTCAGTTCGCTGATTAACAATACAGGCAGTACGGCCAGTCAACCGTCAGATATAGTTTTTAGTTAGACGGGGACCGCTGATTTCGACCCGACGCATCTGATTGCTTTTTGCAAACCCACCAAAACACTGGATACAACATTCATCCTGACTGATTCAGTGCTTCCCTTACTGTCCGTTTATCGCGTCCCAAATGATCGCACTACATTGCAGTCATTCATTTTCAAACTCCAGAGCAAGATTTGGCCAGCTGTAACGCCATACCCGAAGACCCCAGGCCCTGTCTGTTTTCGAGGTCTAATTCCGTCGCTTCCAGTAGAGACCGAGATCTGCCGATATTTAATCCTGGGCAATTTTATATCCAAGGTGGCTTACCATATGTGCGACTTAATTTAGTCGTAAAATGAGAACGAAATTTTCAGGCCGGGTTCCTGGCTGACTATATAGACATGTGTGAATTCTGAAAATCGAGTGCATGTACCATCAGTCAAATATTTCTTGACTGTATCGATATTCTAAGTGTACGGGTCGTGCCTCATATCTGTAAAGCGGGCTCCTTTTGATGAAAGCTACATATATTACAACATGCTGTCCAGACTGATCTACCGTCGATTCTACGAAGGTCGAATGCCTGTTTGATACGATGATCGGTTTTTCCTTGGGCGACCCACCTTAGCAGCTGTCCAACTATCTAGTTTCACTTTCCATGATCAGACAGATAGGTACGAACTAGATGGAGGTTGTCGTCTTTATTTTGCCTAAGTTTATTTTTATGGTCATTTCTTCTACCTTGTCTGTCTGACACGCAGTGCACTGCATCTATGCAAAGGATCTTAACACCACCTCAAATTTGTCACTGCAGCCGAGATTT